GGTGCTCTGAAGAATTGTCTGGGTAGGAGGGAGTCAGGGTTCTGACAGATTTCCATTTCTTATGGGTTGTAGACACATCTCAGCCCCCTCAGCCCCCTCAGCCCCCTGCAATATCTCTTGGCGCAAGCCTTTGCAGCATTGTTAGCTGTGCGATAGTCTTCTCACCCGAAGAGAATAGAATGCCCGGTCATTATAATATCTGTATTTGGGGCAACTTGCAGTCTAGATACAGCGAGAGAATGACCAGGCGTTGTTGTATAATATGCGATGGAAACGGATGGATTTGGACAGTCCACCAAATCTAACTCCTGCATCGAGAGAAACCACCAGATTGACATTGGGCCTCGCTCGACTACACATTAACCGACACGCATTTGACCGGTTTTTGGACCTTGTACGTTGGAAATGTTGCACTCGTGAAAATGCACCTGGTCCACAAATCGTCCAAGTGCATGTAGAGCGCTGTGTAGTGGAGCAAGGCCCGTTGGCAGCTTCGCTTGGCCTCGCAAGGCGGGGTCAGTAGTGCAGGGGGTCCAAAAAAAAATAGGCTCTCTGATAAGATTAAGCAAAGCTTCGGACCGACCCCCTTAGGTACAAAGTAGTGGGGGACACAATGTGTAGGTAGGTCCAACACGCTGGCAGAAGGCTGGAAGTGTGCGCAGCTGGTTCGGTCAGGCGACTCGGACGGGTGTGCAATTATGCTCCCCCCTCCCCAGAAAATCATCGTGCGGCAAACATAAATCCCGGCAGCTTCAACTGCCACACAGGCACAGGTGGCAGACTCCGAGAGTGGAGAATCCGCAGAGACAAATAGATCACGCTTTCCTGTAGACCTGCGTGTGCGAATGCCTTAAGGCCCTTAATTATTCAGCAGCTCGTGGAACTGTGGCCTGCGGTGGGTCATGCTCGCCGTTCGGCGAGGGGGAGGGAGGACTTGTCAGGCTCCGGCATCCCTTGAGAACGAGTCCGTAGCGATCTTCAAGACCCGTGGGCAGCTCAACCAGATCCTGCGCATCCGTCAAGTCAAGCCGAGTCAAGAGTTGCAACCTCGTTACCGATTCCGGCAGGCGCACTATTCCCGAACGGCTGAGCTCCAGCTCCCTCAGCCGTGCAAGCTGACCTATTTGCGTAGGAAGATAGGTCAACCGTGCACAGCCGCCCAGCTCGAGCCTTTCCATCTTTGTCAGCTCCGAGATTTCCTCGGGAAGCGTCTGGAGTGCACTACAATCCCTTAGCCGCAAGACTTGAAGATTGCAAAGATAAGAGACCCAACTCGGCAAGGTACAAAGCCAGCTCAGCGACGACAAGTTCAGCACCGTCAGTCCGGATAGGCCGCTGATCGGTTCCAAAATGCTACTCCTACTGTTCGTAGTACTCCTGCCTGTTGACTCAGGTGTAGTAGTACGCGTTGACTCGGGTGTAATACTTGCTGGAGCTATAGAAGTTTCCGGGGGCGAATTTCCGAGCTCCTTGCAGCCGCTGAGATCGAGCTCTTGGAGGTTCTCTAGCCGCACGATGCCTTCCGGAAGCGTCCTTAGCTCCACACAGCTCGATAGGTCTAACTGTTTGAGCGCCGTAAGGCTTGAGACACCCATCGGCAACGCACGTAGCTGCGCACAATACGATAGGACAAGTGACGTCAACCCCGTAAGCCTACTAACGGAGTCGGGTAACTCTTGAATGCTGGACTTCTTCAAGTTAAGTTCCCTCCCGAGCTTCGTCAAGTTTCCAATCGCCGGCGGAAGGCGAGCTAACTTCTCGCAGCCGCTCAAATTTAGGCTTTCTAAATTGGATAGCTGCGTGATTTCCTCGGGGAGCGACTCCAGGCGTGCACATTCTTTCAGATCTAATCGTGTCAGTCCGGTCAGGTTCGCGATATCTGTAGGCAACTGAATGACCTCTTCGGCATAGGAAAGGTCGAGAGCTGTCAAACTGCGCAAGTCGCCTACTGACGCCGGCGATTTTTCGAGGGTAGTCGAGCCCTCCGACAACATCGGCGACAAGAATCTTAATATGTCGAAGTGCGAAGTCCGCAGCTGTGCACAGCCACGTAGTCGGAGTTCCTTCAGCTTTCCCAGATTCGTGATGCCCTCCGGTACCCCGCGAAGCTGATTGGCGAACGACAGGTCCAGCTTTTCCAGCCTACATATCCGGCTGATGGATTCAGGCAGATTGACAATCCCTGAATAACTCAAGTCCAACTCCCTAAGCTCTGCCAGATTGCCGAATTTTCTGGGTAGATGTACGGGAAGGCTGTGACCGAAGTGTTGGAGATTGAGCTTCCTCAGGGTGGTCAAGTCGCACACTTCTTCCGGAATCGACTCGAGTTTGGGGGACACAATTTCCAAGTGTGTGAGCGATGATAAACGAGAAATATGCAAAGGCAGACTCCTAAGAGAGGACGAATTGATGCGCAGCTTGACTAAGCAGCTCAGGTGGCCCAATTCATCTGGAAGGCGTGTCAAAGATTTAAAGCCCTCTATTTCAATGGATCGTAATCGTCTTAATTCTCCGATATTTGTCGGCAAAGCTTCATCCAGTACCCTCCTCCCATCAGCTTCTGCTGATGCCAACCTCCCTCCTTCAGGTAAAGAGATTGAGAACTCCTCAAGGAAGACTTTAGACTGCAAAAGTTTCTGCAGAACCCCACCATCGTCAACTCCGTCACCGTCTTGGGTTGCAGCAGCATTTCCAAACGGTAAACGATCCGTTGCTGAGGGTGATGATGGCATCAGACACCTCCTCTTACGAGGACCCTGCTGACTCAGCTCCCTATCCCAATCCTCCTCCTCCTCCTCCTCCTCCTCCTCCGCCACCGCCACCTCCACCTCCTCCACCGTTTCTCTCATCCCTACCTCATCACTTGAGGTCTTTCCCCCAGTTGTCATTTCATGCCGATTTCGTTCACTATTATCATTGACTAACAAGACCCCTCGCAATTTCAGCACCCTCAACAGCTTGAGATTGCCAAAAGCCGACAGGTGAACGTTCAGCATTGTTTTGGGCATACATTCGAGGTGCAGAACCTGCAACTGGCTCAGGCTTTCCAGGGATGCGTGCACTAAGGACTGATTGCCTATTAAGAGGTTTCCACCAGCGAACTTTACATGCAAGAGTCGAAGATTCGGGAATGCTGTGAAGTATCCAGGGGGAAATACATTGGGGCTGGGGAAATTTAGCAGGGTCAACATCATCAGCTTGTGACTTTTTGCCGCGATCCTCTCCAGGAACTGACGACCAAATGCGTTGTCTGGATCATTCACAAAGTCCAGCTTTTGTTCGTCGGGCCAAGCCCAAAAGAAACTTACCAAGTGGGGCATTGCCCAAGGGAAGGAGAGGATCACCCTCCGCACCCACAGCTCGGACTCAAACCAGGAAAACTTCTTCACACGCTGGCAAAGAGCCGCATCCGGAGCGGAAGTTTCATGACCCAGCAGGAACAACCTCTCTTGCGCCGCTCCGTTTTTATACTTTTTTTTACGTCGCCACTTCTCGCCGCCGCAATACTTGCTCCAGAAGGAGGAGGACTGTCCCAAAACTACAGGTGGTGCATTACTAGACCGAACGGCGGACATCGCCGCAACTCGCATCATGTTATTCAAACTCACATGAAAGTCGCCGCGATCTTCTACCATGGATAGCCTGATCAGTGTCTTCAACCTCTCCCTCGCCGTTCTCGTATCGAGAATCGACGGGTATATCGACCAAGACTGCTCGATCAAAGACCGGAGAATGCGGGAGCCTTGCGGAAAACTGGCCAGGTCTAGGAACATGTCTAACACCCCTGGTGTCCTGTGTGCAAGGTCGTCAATAGATCTCCGCAGCGCCTTCGTGACAACATCATCTTCAGAATCACCCTCATCCTCATCATCATGACAACCCTCAACGCCGCAACCAGGTGGCTGCCTAGCCGGATGGTGGAACCCCCCACGGAGGTGATCGAGCCAGTGGTCCCAAAATTCAAGGTCCCGGTTTCTCGGGTACAGCCGGGAACCAAACTCCTGAAGAGCTAAGGGCAAACCAGCACAAGTCCCACACACCCTCTTCGCCAACGTTTGGAACCCGGATGGCGGAATGGTCGACCCGAAAGCCGATTGACAAAACAGCTTGAAGGAGTCCTCCTCTCCCAAGGGTTGGACGAAGATCGTGCTCGCGACGGGTACAGTGACAACATCCCGAATTCTTGTGGTCACAATCACAGAGCAGCTGGCAGGCAGAATGTCGTCCTTCCATGTCCAGCTGATCTGTTCTGTTCTCCACACGTCGTCGATCACGACCAGAACTCGCTTGCCATTCAACGACCTTTTCAGCGCCGACCACTCTCCCATCCCGTTCACGCACTGCTGGCTGTATCCTTCATGGCAGGCAACGGCGACTCTCTTTTTTTGATGCTCCTTCCATAACTCGGCCAGAACCTCCGAACCCCGCGTCCGCTGCCCGCATGTGAAAAAGAACATCCCATCTCGAAACCTCCTCTGCACTTCCTTGTTCCCACAAATTCGCCTCGTGATTGCCGTCTTCCCAACGCCACCCATGCCAACGATGCAATGCAGTTTTGGCCCCATCCCTTCTGACGACGATGCGGAGCAGTCGGCACAACGAGACTCTTTCTGAGCCGGCTTCCCCAACAGCTCTCCCTGCAGAGCGGCTACGTGATCCCCTACGCCATACAGATGCTTGTTGGAGGCTGCGAACGGCTCGTCACAGCGGGGAACCCACAAGTGAGACAGGATGCCTGTGAGGGAGCTGGCCCCCAGACTTACGACCACTTTCAATGAACATGATCCGGATGGTTCACTGGCGAACGGGATAGCCACTCTGACGTCCATCGTCTTTGGGTGGGTGGCAGAAAGGGATAATCATGTGGAAGCCCAGAAAGGGATAATCATATGGATGAAGAATGATTTTGGATTTAGGGGTGGAAAAAAAAAAAAAAAGAGGGAGAATTATATGCATATAACAGCATCAGCGTATGGAAGTAAAGAGAACTGATAATTATATTAATTTATTAAAATTTAAAATAAAAATAATAATAATGGATATGAGTCTTATGAGATGAGGAGTTCATTTTAAAAAAAAAGGATATATTTTTTAATGGATAATAGATGAGGATTAATTGAGGATTGAGGGTTTTGAAAAAGGAGAGTTATATGCATATAACAGGATCAGGTTATGCAAGTCAAGAAAGGATCATTATATATACATATATATAGATATCAGGTATATATTAATATTTTTTTAATATGAGGATTAGGTTATGAGAGTTAAGATTCTTAAGGAAGGATAACTATATGGTTAAGGATTACGATAGGGAAGTGAAGAAAGGATAATTATTAATTATTATTAATTATCAATCATTATTAATTGGTATTTAAAATAAAATAAAAACGATAAATTGAAAGAAGGCAGTAGTGGTGGTACACCTTGAAGGTGGACGGGATTTTCCCAAAAGGATAGATAAATTCACAGCCAAGGAAAACACACACAATACAGACGATGAGTGAGTCTGTAGAGAAAGTATAGACCGTTTCCACACAATACAGAAAATGAGTGAGTCTATAGAGTCATATAGAGAAGCATACCCAGAAAGGAATGAATGTGGTTGTTGTTGTTGTTGTTGTTGTTAAAAAAAAAAAAAAAAAAAAAAAAAAAAAAAAAAAAAAAAA